CCCCTAACTCAGACCAGAAATCCCCAAAAACCTGAACCCTGAACTCCGAAAGCCTCGTCTGAGTCGAGGGGGAAGAGGAGCTTCGCACTGCACTACTTGGAAGTACACCCCTGAACTGGGGTGCCCTTGAAACTGATCTGCCTGTGCAGGTGATGCTGTGGCGAATCAGGGCTGCAAGAAGGCAAACACCGCGGCGCAGTGATGCGCAGGTTATGCGGTCATTCATTTCTTTTCTACCAGCATCGCTTTTGCGGCTGTTGCCATGATTTAAAAGCGTGGCACCTGCGCCGACCGACGTGCTGGCGATAAGAAGCGCAGTTGCCTTTGCAAACTTCGGACACACGGGCTCCATGTACCCATGTAGTAGGAACTTAGGCCTGAAAGTACTTATATAGGGACACCTTTGAGGGCTAAGTACCTGCCATATGGGCACATGGAGCCTTTAGGGGAAGCTCGGCCTAAGTCCGCTGTCCTAGCAAGACGGCAGACATCCACAAAACGGTAGATCGGGCTTTGGAGTTCCATACTTTACTTACAGGTTCCATTGTAGTTCCTTTCTTTGGTTAACCAGTTTTATGGTTAGGATCCTGTAATAGAGATTTTGGTTAACCACAGAAAAGGAACTACAATGGAGGCTATAGGCACTACTCTTTTTTGGGACCCACTGGTACTTAAAGGGGAGCATCATGAAATAAAAGTCTATAACTAGTTGTTGCTTCCTGGTTATTTCAAGGCCTAGTCTTAGATCCCGGACAAAAAGCCCTGCCTCTCGCTATCTGTCCCTCTTTCCCTCTTTCTCTCTCTCGCCCTCTCTCGCTCTCTCCTTCCCTCCCTCGCTCGATCTGTGTCTACCTCTCTTTCTGCCTTTTTTTGCTGCTGTCTCCCTCTTTATAATATATATATATATATACATATACATATACATATGTATATGTATATATATATATATGTTTATGTGTATATATATATATACACAACACCAAAGAATGTGGTTCAATGTAACTCCAGACACATGCCTATGCACCCAGAGCCAGGCACATGCCTGGCTGGCTGGCTGGCTGTCTGTCTGTCTGTGTTTGTCTATCTGGGTGGTTGTCAAAATTAGGGTCCGTTTTTGGGTACCCTAAATATTAGGTGCCGTACTAGAATGGGGGCCCAGAAAGGGACCATAATTTTGACAACCACCCATCTGTCTGTACATATGTATGCAGCATGTATGTATGACGACCTATATGCTGCATGTATGTGTGTATCTTTGTGTATTTGTGCGTCTGTGTGTATGCACCAAACCACGTATATATGTCTGTCTGTCTGTCTGTCTATATGTATGCAAGCTGTATGCATGTAAACATACAGTTGTGGATGTACATATGTATGTACAAAGGTATGTCCGCAGGCACATGTGCATGATTGTGCATGTACACTTATGGTTATACAGGCCTAAAGCTTAATGCTGAAAATAAGCCACACTGCAAGTCGCACAGTTGTACAAACATGTGGTGCAGTCATACCATCTGGTGGCATGTAGCGAGATGAAACTGGAGGTGACGCTGCCTCAGTTTCATTGGACGTGTAGCCCAGACCTAAAGGATCTAGCGACAATCAGTAGCGTCAAATGCACCAGATGCCATAGCACTTTCCATCAACATACGGCAACATGCAGGGATATGCAAGAACAAAAGCATTCCGTCATGACATGCAATAAAGGACAGGGGCGTGCAAGAACAGGTAGTCATGTGCATTAGCCTTAATAACATGTGCTGCCCAGCAGCAAATCTGTACGTGCCTTCTAAGTACCTTGTTGTACTCAAGAATTTGACACTTGATGGTTTGTGATGCAGGAACTGGCGCTTAAGTTGAACAAGCGCGCGATAGTGATACAGTGATATGCAAAGTTGTGACCATATGTGCGCACCGTAATGATATTTAAAATCAGACTCAGTCGCACGTTTCAACGGTTCACGTGCAACGGTTTGTGACGGCATGCAGGAGGAGGCAGCAGAAGTATGCTAAAGCACGCTTTGCAATATGTAGATGGCACTCGCGTGTGAGAGTTTGAGTACGAGAAACCAAAACTGTGGAAGCTGATATTGCCAAGTCTCGTGCTCTGCACGAGACTTTAAGACGGTTTAGAGATGGAGGAGCCGACAAGCGTAAACTATCCAAGAGTCCGCACTTGATGCGCAACGGTAAGTGATAACATGTGGTCCTATGCCATCACATGTAAAGGCATGTAGCATGGTGTGGTTTTGGTATGTAGCCACCTAGGCAGTAACATGCAACCACATGCAGTAGTAGTAACAATGCAAATGTACTCCCACACAGAATCCTTAAGAGTCCCGATGTGTGCTGCAAGAGCACACTGTGCCAAGTCTTTGTACAGTAGAAGCCCACAAGTTGGAAACCCAATAGTTTAATGTATATGGAATCCCAGCACTGTTTGGCCTTAACCCGGTTTCGAACTTGTTGGGGTTTACTATATTATGCAGTGTAGTGGCACCAAATATGTTGCAGTTGGAGCAAGATTGATCGTCATGCGCTGGTGTGTTCCTGCCCTTCGCAGCTGTGTAATGAAACATGGCGGCATGAGTGTCATACTGATGTATCTGTATACACAGTTTAACTATTGTGCGCAATGTTGCTCAACCTGAATTTGAAAGCATGTCTTCACGCAGCATGCTGTGCACTGCGACTGCTTTTATCAAAGAGGCGCTGAGTAGGTCGGTATGTGCAAGTATATTGTGTAACTGTGTGTGTGTGTGTATGTTCACGTACAGCTGCATGTGTATGCTCATGTGTAAGTGCATGTCCATATGTATGTATGTATGCACATCTGTGTATATACACGTGTATACATATATATATATATATATATATATTATATACATACATGTACATATATGTATCTGTACATGCTATGGTATGTAATTGCCTGTGCCTGCGAGCGCAGCAGCATGCGACGGAAAGCCGGTGCATGGTCATTGCTCTTTGGGTTTGACGCTCCTAGGGAGCCCCATCCCAGCAGCAACTCCAGCAACTTGTTTCGTGTGAAGGAAGACACAGAATCACAGAATTGGATCGAATTACGGTTGATGATATGAATCCTGCATGACCCATAGTAAGGAATATACCAGAATTCCCATAGTTTAGGTCCTTAAGGTAATGCAGGATTTGTATCATCAACCGTATGACCGTGTTTACTGGGATCTTTCACTAAACGGGCACGTCTTGCCTTAAGCGGCCCCCGAACTCTCCGCCTGATGGGCTTAGGGGCCGAGTAGGCAACCGTTAACCCTTCAGGTCTTGCATAATTCTACCATACTCAAACCAAGCCCTAAACTCTAAACCCTAAACCCTAAACTCTAAACTCTAAACCCTAAACCCTAAACCCTTAACCTTGTTTTTTGGGCCAGGGCACTCAGCCCCTGAGTGGGGGCTTCGCCCACTCAAGGCCTTGAAGCGCCTTGCAACCCCAAACCCGGTCCCTAAAACCTCGGAATTTCCATCCCTCTGCGTCCCCAGGTCTTAAACCCTAAGCCCTAAGAGCTCGAATGTATGGGCCTTAAAATTGCAATTTTAATCGGAGTTTGGGGGATATTATACTATAACTATGATAAGGAACACCCAAAACCCTCTTCGAATTATGAAGGCCCCTACATTAGAGTCCTAAGCCCTGCAGGCCTCGCAATCCCAAGCCCTAACTTGGAAACGACGTCCCAGACAGGTACTCCCCGTCCCTCTACGGCGACCAGGGAGCCGTTTGCAACAAGGTCCCGCTTCCTTGCAATCCCAAGCCCTAACTTGGAAACGCCGTCCCAGACAGGTACTCCCCGTCCCTCTACGGCGACCAGGGAGCCGTTTGCAAGGTCCCGCTTGAGGCTGTGGGTTTAGGATTCGCAGCGACTGCGAGATGCTACATCATTGCCGTAGAAACGAGTTCTGCATTGTAGTTGATACTATGGTGCACTAGTTGCATATTGTATCCTTGAGATGTACTTGGTTTGACCATTAGATGCCGGCGACTGCATTATTGTGGTGTTTCGTTCTGATGCCTGCTGCACCACGAATCACTTCAAGCCAAGATTTTCTCGAGGAGTCAAGTGAGATCGGCCACCCTCTGGTGACTAACTTGCTCAGACTTCAGCGTGTCTGAATGAATAACGAGAGCAGACATGTGTTTGTTTTGCTCAACTTGTTCCTTCTGCTGAGCTTTGTTTGTGTGTTTGTGTGCGCGTGTGTGTTCGCTGTGCTATTGAAACTAAAGCGGCAATGTATACAGGGGCAACAGCGACCTCACCTGCATATGAACATGTGATATAAGTGTCCCCACATAGGCCTTAAAATGCTTGTGCGATATATTGCCTAATTAACCACTAAAGCTACTCAGAGTCCCTGCATTATCTACTTGGAGGGTCGGGGGACTTAGTATCTAGGGACTTGTAAGTACCATAACCCCAATTAGGGTCCCTTTTAGGGTACTTATATGTCTACTTACTACCTACTTACTAAGTCCCCCGACCCTCCAAGTATAGTTGATCCCGGGAACAGCTGTGGGAATGGCTCGTGAATGGACACGAGGAATGGCCCAGGCTCCACCTTAACCCCAAAGAACCTACTTTTTAAAGGTCTTATATATAGAATTATGCTTCTTTAAGGATTTATATAAAGAAATTATAGTAAGGAGCCCTGAAAAGGTAGGTTATTCAGGGTTAAGGCAGGGTTTAACTTTCACCTTAATGCCAAATATTCTGCAATTTTTCGGGACTTATACAAGAAAGTCACAAACAGGCGGCCTTCGAGGTTCAGGCATGGTCTAGGTATCTTGCAGTGTTTCAGCGTGTCGACGAGGGCGGCAGGGCTAGTAGGACCATTTGCAGGAGCGTGCAAGCACCGCTTGCGTCCGGCTGCATATCTCGTGGAGCCGCGAGCTGTTGTCTCCAGTGATTCCCTGTTTGTCACATCTATCTATGGATAGCTTCCTGTAGGATCCTTCTAGAGGCATGGTGCGCTGGTTGGGTTTCCTGTGGATCGTAGTGGGAGCTGGAATCCGGGCCAAGAATCGTGTCGACTGGCCGTGGGAGGAGCATCCCGTCAGCTCAAGCGATGAGGTTCAGAGGCTCCTGGCCACGATGCTGGCAGAGACCACGGCTGAGGCGACGGAAGAGGCCGGGGATGTTGAGGCACAGCACCCCATGCTCAGAGAGGTGGTTGCAAACATCCGGGAAAACTGGCGGAGCACCAGTGCAAGCACTTGCCATCAGCAGCTCGGGAAGGTGATGAACAACTTCAGTCTTGCATGCCAAGGATTGCGGCCCAACGCCGACTGGCTTCTCGACTACTACGTCCCTGTCCTCCCGAACAAGACCTGTGCCGAAAGCATCGGCGACATTTTCGCATTGGGAGACGACCTGGTCGAGACCCTCCGTATCTCCAGAAATGCGATAGCCTCTTTGGATGTAGACGACAGGACACTCCGTCGATATCAAGCGCTTTCCTTTTTGAGAAACTGGCTTGTGAATCTCACTCGGACTGATGATCAGGCGCTGCTTTGGGCGGGGTTCTGGGATGGTGATCCCCAGAATCGCGCGACACAGGCGAAGCTCTCCAACTTTGCCAGAGCGACGGAACACTCGACCATGCACCCGAACACTTTCCTAGGCCAAGCAATCGAGGCGAGCCAGGACCTCGACGCCTGCTACAAGCAGGCCACGACCAACACACTCGCAGAAAACATGTGGTCCATTGCAAGCATGAGCTTCGTTCTAGGGATGCGCGACAAGGCACAGGGGACGGTCATCGCGCTGGTCAACAAGCAGATCACGGGCGAGCGTAACTTGTCAGAGTCCGTGCTGTCCACTCATGAAATCCCCACAGTGGGGCTCGCAGCCTGGGGCCTCGGGTTCTGGTCTCCGAAAGTGATTCTCCTGGACCTTATGGGTACGTGCTACAAAACAAGCCCAATTCTGCAGAAGCAGCTTTTCGCCCGCCTGCGACTTTGGGCGAAGTCGATGACGAACTGGAGCCCAGCAGCATTCGCAAAGAGGTCACGGCTCCAGTGGCAGTGCATCGATTGCTCGGGTGCTTGCAGCCTGGATGAGGACTTGGCGGAGCACGTGCAGCAGCTGGTCAAGGCCCTCTGTGGTAAAAGACACCCTAAGCTGCGCGCAATCTGTCCCGTGCTGACTAACTATGCTGGCCTGAATCAGTCGCAATTCCTTCCTTGTTGTGAAACGCTCCCAACTACTCGCAATTACTGTCAATCTTATTTTCAATGAAAAATGTTAAGTATTACGGGGCCATTTGGTCAAGCTTCCTATTCCTCCGTACTGTATGCCTAACCAGCTTTGTCAAGTTTGGCAGGCCACAAGCCCTGCAGTCCTGCGTTGCGGTTGCTGCAGCCTCCAGTCCCCCTGGCAGTCCCTGCACCCTATGTTCCTGCAGCTCTGCCCTTGCCGCCCAACGTCCCTCTATAGTCTCCATTGTAGTTCCTTTTTTTGTTAGCCAAAATCTCTACTATAGCATCCTAACCATAAAAGTGGTTAACCCCAAAACAGGAACTACAATGGAAACTGTAAGTAAAGTATGGGACTCCAAAGCCCTGTCTACAGTTTAGTGGATGTCTGCCGTCTTGCTAGGTAGCGGAACGACAATGGAAACTGTAGCTAGGATGCCCGGTAGTACCCTTATTCCCTTTTTGTGGTCCTAGGCTCCTTATAAAGTTACCCAATACCAAAAAGAGAGGCCTTTTTATTCTTAGGTTACTGGGTATCCTAGGTAGGTATGTCTCTTGCAGCCTGCAGTTCCACGGGCCGTGCATGATGTCTTAAGTTTCCACGGCCGCTCCTGGCTGAGAGAGCTCTTGTCATAGGCGGCCAAAAGGGGTTTTAGCCAATGGGGTTTAGTAGGGATTAGGGTTCCCATACTAGGGTTCATATGAAGGAATCCCTACCCCAAGAACCTTAAACCCCCCCTTTTGGCCTCCCATCATCTTGGGAAGGGGAACGTTTGAGAAAGGAACGTCGTTCACGCGTTTCAGTAGTACAGGGGCCTAAATTTTCAGATAATGACCTATGCAGGTTCCTTATTATAGTTAGAGTATAGTGGGTCCCCAAACCCCAGTCTAAAGATAAAGGCCCCTTATATCACACACTTGCACTTGTGGTCGCGGGCTTTCGGTTTCGGTGATCAACCTTAAAGAGGGAGAGAGGCGGAGAGGGGGAGAGCGAGAGGGAGAGGGCTTCGATACCGATACAGCGAAAAACTGTTATATTAGTTTTCGTCGTATTACTATTATTATTATTATTATTATTATTATTATGATTATTATTATTATTACCATTGTTATTATTGTGATTTGTATTGCAGTACTATTGCCACCGGAGGCCAAGGATGAGCAGGACCGGAAGGACCGGGAGCTCCGACAGGCGGACCCTGGCAGGAGCTAGACAAACAGACCCTTAAGACAAAACGTCCTCATAGGGTTTAGGGTTTAGGGGTCAGGTTTCAGGGCTTTGGGTTTAGGGGTCAGGTTTCAGTGTTTAGGGTTTTGGGCTTACATGCATCGTATCCGTTGCAGTACATGACAGCAATCCTGGGCCCGAAAACGCCGCAAGCCCTAGCTGGTAAAGCTCTAAAGGGAACTCCAGAAAGTTGGAATATGGTTTCAGGGTAGGATACCTTATAATTTACCATTCAGGGCTTCGGATAATAATATTCCAACTTTCTGGCTTTTACTTTATGGCCCTGGCCTCACCCATTCCCTGCGAGGTCGCGAGCCCTCTCCTGGCAGTCGCAGAAGAGGAAGGGTTAAACTACTGGGAGGAACTGACTGCTGCCCACAAGCTGATGGGGAGGCTCTGGAACAATCCGGAGACCAGGAGAAAGGCCCAAGAGCTGAAAGACTTCTACTTGTCTCTGCACATGGAGGACCTGGCAGACCTACGCAAAGCGGAGCATGCGGTTCCGAAGCTCCACGTCCAAGCCAGGCTGCGTCGAGTGGAGCACCTGCTCCACCAGAATGCTGATCCGAACGCTCCGGACAGGCACGGCAACACAGCCCTCATCGGCGCTGCAATCGAAGGACACCTGGAGTTGGTTGAGCCCTTGCTGAAGGCAGGGGCCCAGCTGGAGGCCCGCAATGATTTAGGCACCACAGCATCTAGGATGCCCAGTAGTACCCTTATTCCCTTTTTGTAGTCTTAGGTTCCTTATTTAGTTACCCAATACCAAAAAGAGAGGCCTTTTTATTCTTAGGTTACTGGGTATCCTAGTATAGTATTCCTTATAGACCCCTTTAAAGGAACCTACGAAACCTCTATGGTAATTATATTCGGGCTCCTATACTAAGCCCTATCCTAGGCATTCATCTATGCCGCGGCCAACGGCCATCTGGCGATCATCGAGGCGCTTCGTAAGGCTGGAGCAGAGCCTTAGGGGTAAATAGAAATAATTTTTAATCTTTGGTTATTATAATCCTTAAGAAACAGCTAAAATTATAATTTTTGCTAGGGTTCTAAGTTCAGTGTAGGAGCTGGATGCCCACAGTGCGAATGGCTTCACAGCCCTCACCTTCGCTGCAAACAAAGGCGACTTAGGGGTACTTAGAACTAATTTTTCAATTTTTGGTTATGATGATCCCTAAGAAACAGCTGAAAGTGTAATTTTTGCCAGGGTTCTAAGTTCAGTATAGGCGACTGGAAGCTGGTCGAGACATTGCTGCAGGCCAGAGCCCAGCTAGAGGCCCGCAGTGAGAATCTTTGTCATAGTTGGGTAACCTTTTGCATTTTTATGGGTACTTGAACCCAATAAGGAATAAAAATGTATATTTTTAACCCTATCCCAACATTGAACTAGGAATGGCTTCACGGCCCTCATTTTCGCCGCAAACAAGGGCCACCTGAAGGTGGCCAAGGCATTGGTGAAGGCTAGAGCCCAGCTGGAGGCCCGCCATACTATAATTCTTAAGGCCCCTGCACTAAACCCCCATACCTTAGCCTACCAAACCCTACTTTTTTGTAGGTTCTTAATTATGAACCTTAATATGGAATTTATAGGGACCCTACTTTTTAGCAGGGTTTGGTAGGTTAAGGTATGTCATATCCCTGATGGTAATCCTTATAGACCCCTTTAAGGATCCCTGGAGGCCCGCGATGAGGACGGTAACACAGCCCTCACCTATGCTACGAGGGCAGGCCACGCGCGGGTGGTCGGGGCGTTGGTGAAAGCCGGGGCCCAGGTTGAAGACGAGGATGCCGCAACCCATGCCTAACCCATCATATATACTATGAAAAGTTTATATAAAATAGTACACTAGTAGTCAATTATATATAGTCAATTTACTGTCAATAGAGTGTTAAAGGGGCTGGAGTGGAGATTTGCCAGCGCAGGGAGGCCTCCTTGTAGCATCTGGTGCCTGACTCACAAAGCACACTTCCGCGTGCATCGCTGAAACAGAGTGTGCAAGTTGGAGCGGCAGCCAAATCGCCTAGAAGGTAAGGACTTAAACCGAAAACCCTCTCAACCCTAAATCCTAAACCGTAATCCCGAATTAAATCCTTAACTTCCTAAACAAACCTCATCAGGAGTGGGCGGAAAAAGGTCCCCCGCAAATCTGAGCTAAGTGATGGAGTCAACGACGACAAAAGGGAGCCTCGCAGACCTCGGAAAAACTGGCCCCCCGGTGACTCCAGTCCGTCACCCTCCCTTCTGGCCACCAGCGCTAGCCATAGCGCAGTCCCGTACAGCCTAAAGGCTTATTAGGCTTAAAACCTAGATACTCTTACAGTAAACTCCCTTTCTCTCTCTCTCTCTCTCTCTCTCTCTCTATCTCTCAATCCAGAGAATCTCAAGAGTTAAACCCATCAAAGATAGTGCACGAAGTGTGAGGAATTGGGTGCTGCAGAAGTGTGGCTTTTTTCGCCGGTTTGAGGGCTTGAGTTTTTTCGAAGCTAGGGTACGTTGTCTGGGTGTTTGAGTTCATTTGGTAGTTCGTGGTGTGGAGTTCCCCAAGCCAACAGGTCCTCAGCTCGAGTTTTAGGGCGTAGGTTTACCCTAAACCCTAAACCCTAAACCCTAAACCCTAAACCCTAACCCTAAACCCTGAACCCTAAACCCTTAAACCGTGGTGTAGGTTTCAGCTTTTTGGGGCTAAGGGTCTGGGGAGCCAGTGCTGACGAGTTGGAAAACCCTGAACCCTAAACCCGAACCCTACACTCTACAGGGAACTCCAGAAAGTTGGAATATGGTTTCATGGTAGGATACACTATAACTTACCATAGAAGGGTTAGGATAATCATATTCCAACTTCCTGGCAGTTACCCTAAAGGCTTGATGCTGACATCGCTTGCTGCCACGACTCGCTGCGCTTCTTCGAGGCTAGCTGCCTGTGATCCCGCTCACGGACTCATCATGCCTCAAACCCTGTAAAGACCTAATTAGGGTTTAGGGTTTAGGCCCTAAAGCCCGAAACCGACAACCCCAACCTTTTGCCGAAACCTCAATACCCTGAAGCCCTAGAGAAAGAAAGGCAAGCCTATGTTTTTGCTAGAATCCTAGAACCCTAAAGCCCAAAACCTTCAAATTTTACCCTAAACCCTAAACCCTACACCGAGGGACAAAGTGAGGACCACCGATCCCGGAGGTTGCCACAACACCATACCTGGACCCTAATGAACCTGCCTTCTTTAGGGCTCCCTAATATGATTTCTTATATATATATATATATATATATATAAGTCCTTAAAAAGGTAGGTTGCTTGGGGATAGGGTTTGAGGTTATACAAAAGCCTGACAAAACAGGTAACATAGGGGCCTGAATAATCACCTATGCTATTTTGGGGGCTCCTTATTATAACTATAGTGTAATAGGCTCCGAGACCCTATTCCAATTATTAAGGCCCCCACATTAGCATCATAACCGTAACGTGGGTTTAGTGTTTAGGGTTTGCCATCAGAGCTACAGAGGGGCTATAAGTTATAGCCCCTCTATAGTTATGGCATTATATACCGCCCGAAGCTTATTCAACAAATTGAGCTGCCCGTGTGACCGGCAGCGATTACTGAGTGATTTCTGGGGCTCCGGATGTGGGGTTTAGGGTTTACGGTTTAGGGTTTAGGGTTTAGGCTGTACTCCTGAAAGCTCCCAGCCTACCGGTGTATGCATACCGATTTTGAACAACCTAGCTAGCCGTAGTTTGCGGACAGCCCTGGCTTCTCAGTACAGTCATAAGCACAGATTTTCTGTCTTCTCATTTTCAGTATTATACAAACAATGCCAACTGGGGTACCCAAAACCCCCCCAGGCCTCCTTCCATCCTCAACGAATAGGAAACAACCGAGACAGTCTTGGAAGGAGTCTCTGCCTGACCTCAAGCACCCCTCGGTACCAGATTTTAGGGTTTAGAGTTTGGAATTTGGGAACTCCGAATATGGGGCTTGAGTTTTTGCTAAACCATTCCCCGCGCTTCGGCTATGGCTAGAGTATAGGTCCCCCGCACAGACTTCCAACATCCTTAAACCCTAAACCCTGAAGCCACAGACAGAGGCTTGGAACATGTAGCCATTCAGCGCACAGGCATCGGTGCAGCCGAACCTGAGGACGAATTGTGCGACGACTTCGTGAGAGTGTACATGCACCCCTTCAAGGCCTACTATATGGGCCCTCATAGTTGCCTCCACTATTTGGGGGGTTCCTTGTTATGATTACAGTATAATGGGCCCCGAAACCCTATATTCTTCTTATTAAGGACCCTATATTACGTATATGCCGTACAGGTACATGAAGCCTCTGGGGAGGGGTGCAAGACATGCCCTATTGAATCCATGGCGATGCATGGAGGCACGATGAAATGAGCTCCGGTACTATGGTTATGAAGGGGCTTCTATATACAGGGTCCAAAGAAGACAGCTACCTGCTATATATCTGTATGTACATGCGTGTGTGTAAACAAATGAATACATGTGTATATATGCACATACAAATATATACATATATATATATATACACACACGCACACTTCTTTTCACATATGTAACTGGGATTCTAGGGGTGACTGCTGACACTGAATTCAGAAATGCCTGTCATGCACCTGCTGGCAGTGGACCCAGCGGCAACTAGTTGTTCTGCACCGAGACACCGGTGAGAGAAAGAGGAGCCCATATCCTAGAGTGCAGCACGCAAGCCCTAAACTCCCTGAACCAGAGATCGTCCTAAACCCTAAACCCTAAACCCCAAGCAAGCCCGAATCCGCAAACCCTGCATCCGGGAACCCGAAACCACATGCGAGAACTTAGGATGCAGAGTTTTGATTGTGGTAGCTGGTTTTCTTTACCTTGTTATCTGTTATTGGAGATTGCAGGGTAGACCCGAAAAGCTGCAGTTCTTAGTAAATACCTATACTATTTTAGGGGGTTTCCATCTTGTAGTTATAGTATATTACACCTCAAAACACTATTTTCGAAAACTGAGCTTTACCACACTTGTGTACTAAAGGCAGGCCGCCGCCTTGGGTTGCTCTAGTCAATGAAAGCCAATCGCAGCTCAGCTGACATCAATTCTACACGTGCTACTCAGCTGCCACTTGACACGTGCAGTTCTTTGGAAGCACAAGAAATTCGTAGTGCCTTACCCGCTCGGCCAGGACCGCTTAAACGGTTCAATGCGGCCGTCAGCAGAACAACTAAATCTTAGGCTGCTCTCGAAAGGTGCTGAGGTAACCAGATTCTTGACAATGATTGCCGCACGCACATACTTGAACCAACTTGGGCACAGACTGAAAGATGTGCCTCATGCAATCAGCTGATCAGTTATTCTAGCGAACCGCGCAAGCTTACCCGCAGATGCCCTACACCGATAAACTTCCCTGTGAAGATTTTAGACTCCCGGTCCCAAGAAATACGGAGCACTGCTTCGACTCCTGCAACTTATGTGCAGCAAGTTTTAGACTGCGTCGTGACACGTGAATATACGCATTCTCTGAGGATGCACATGTCGTCCTTCGTTTCGCTCGACAGGCTTTCGCCCGCATCCACCCCAACACCCTACTCTAATTGATTAAATCATTAAACATTCAGTACACGCCAGCCCACGATAAACTGCGCCGTCGCACGCTGCCCTTCCTGAACGAACCCTCTGAACCCCAAGTGCATCACCCTTAAATCCTAAGCCGCTGCCCACCCTTGGCCCTAAGCTTTGGCCCGACATGCCCTCAACCCTCAACCCCAAGAGCAAGCATTGCCGCGGATTTGGGCCCAATGCATGGAGAACCCATCGGGTTGGGCTTGCAGGACTTGAAGTTCTGTGAACATCCTAACTTCGAATCCCTAAGCTTTAGCCGTTTAGGCTTTAGGGTTCAGGTCTAACGTTTGTTTTCAGGATTTTTGGTTGAAGGATTCATGTCCGGGTCTCGCTGGGGAGCTGCACTAACCCTGCATTC